TAAGTCGGAAACAAAAATGATCTTTGTCGCGTAAGATACTTGCAAACCTGTGGGCACAAAACGTTCATCGTTCTCTGCAATGTAACTTCATCCAAATACAGGTGTAAAGATGGCCAAACATTTATTTGGTATCGATCTGGCCACTTCTTATTTCACGAAACCCGAAAACAAAAATGGAAAAACAGAATAATAATTATAATAATATTAATAATAAAAATTTCTAGTTATGTGCATTTTGATTCGTTCGAAGTAATTCGCACATTTGACTCCATTATAAGGAAATCCTAGTACAGCTATTGAGCGTAACGTACATTTTAAGTTGAAAATCCCTGTAGGTTTGGTACAAACATGCGACCTTTATCTTCATTTAGTATGCATATTTTCTTCCCTAAATTAACTAGGCCTACTCCTTAAAGAAAATATGAAACAAGAACGACCAAATCACTGGAAAATAGAAAGGGGGGAAATTTTAATTGAAAGTGGAGCTCGGGTCACTTTCTAAGTCTGATGAAATGGCTCGTGGCTCGAACTTTAGTCACGGTTAATTATTACCATTAACATAAGTTACTAACTACTTGCAGAGTGTTTGATGTCCAATTCTGCAAAACCGCGGCAGGGGGCTATGTTGCTTAATTTTGCGTGGTTCTTTTTCATAAAAGCGTGTGGGTTTCCTTTTCTTTTTGTTAATTACCGCAACATCCGTTAAAGGGGTTGATATCAGTCCAACGTGGGTCATCTACGTCATTGGCACTTAGAGTGTCTCTCATCACCCAGTAACTGATAGGAAACAGGGGCAAGTAGCAATGGCTCACTTACAGCGTGAACTTAGGAGAAACAACTTTTTAAGTTTCATTTCGTTTATAGATATCGTTTCGAAAGATAATGAAGGATTATTGGCGATATGTCCGCCCTTATGAAATTAAAACTTCATCATTCCTTAAACCCATTAACAGTCAATCCGCTTTGGGAAAGAGAGAACTCGTGGCATAGGGCCAAGTGGGTGATAAACAAAAGAGAATTGAAATGTACAGTAAGCGAGGGGCCTGTATATGCTCGTCGATAGATGATCCTATTTTATCTTTATCAGCATAAGAAACACTAGGATTGAAGCACACTCCTGAGTAGCGTTTAAATTTAGCTTACTCTCACTTGGAAGTTAGAGCTACAATAGGAAGTCTATTTATGAATCGATAACAAAGAACATCAGTGTTACAGATTGATAAGCTTCTGTGACGAGCAAAGCAGATGAAGCTCAGACTAAATAGAAACCTCAAAGCTGGTCTTAAGCAGGCACTGCTAATTATTGAGGTCATATGTGGCAATTTCGCAACCTGTTTTGAAATATTTATGTGACGATGACTTTGGTTAAAAAAAGAAACACTTTTCTGTTGGGTAAACAACCGCCCACTAGACAGGAACTTGGAACGCTAAGTGGAAAAGAGTGGTCGGACTCTACTATTGTTCAAAGGCACACTCTTCCGTTGTAACTGAGACTTCCTTCTTTGTTGCCGACCAACGTAAGGCCACCCAAGCACGTGCTTGAAGGATACAGAGGACGTTTTTGAGCTGTCAGAATAATTCATAATTGTTTTTTAACATCACACGACGATGGCATGATAGTTGAGTAACTCACATACACACATTTCTTGCCCTCGAAAGCAGAATTCTTATGTCCAAAAAGACGTCCGCCGTGTAGGAGATAGACGTTCCCGACCTAGTTTTAATTTAACAAAATGTATGTTATCTTTTGGCAGATGAAGGTAATCTAAGTTTAAACGACTAAGTTAATTTGACTTTGAGAAAACAAACCTCAATGGTAAACTGCTGAATTCTCTCGTTTCTTTTAAGTTTGACCCACTTATCGTAAATGACCCATCGTGACTGATATGTGGAAAATTGTTGCGAACAGAAACTGAATTTAAAAAAAGAGAGATATTAAATCGTACAATCCCATGGGGATTGGCTAAGCGGGAACATTTTGCTGAATATCCCACATTTATTTCTTTATTATTTTATATGATTAAATCGCTCTTGAAGTATATGAGTGATAGAAATGTCGAGCTATTTGTTGGATATTTCATTCCTAGATTCACTTATTTTCTTCTATAAAAGTATACTTTGGATACTCAACTATCAACTATTTTCGTACTTTAAACTGGTCATAAGAACCTTTCGAAAAATCTGCGAAAGGAAAAATCATTCCATCTCGGAAAAGACAAAGAAGTTTCTTTGTCACGCGGGGGTGGGCGGATGAATTTCATGTGATGGGCCATAGGAAGAGGTTTCACCTTAAAGGGCAGCCTTAAACACGCACTGCTTTTATTCATTATGCAACTCTGCCGGTGTCCACCACTTAGGATTTGTTCCCACGATGCATGAAAGGTAGTCGAACTCCAAATAATAGGAATCACCAAATCGTTGTACCAGCGCCTCACTAACAATGGCGTTCTTCGATTTAGAGAGCACCATTTCAATACCATGTAAACCACGAGAGCCTGATCCTTCGTTACTACTGCCCCAGTTTTATGGAACAGGTTACCCTAAAGCGTCAGATCAACAAAAGATCAAGAAATATTAAATGTGAAATTAGACGATTTTGCATCTTAAGACCTTTTGCTCGTAAACAGATGTGAGTTGCAGTGAATGACATATGAGAACATCCAATTATCCCCACCAAAAGGGCCGGTTAAGATTTTTTTTTAATTTTAAGGTTGGTTTAGTTCTAAACACCTTTTTGCGTCGGCCTATATGCAAGTGTGTCTCTTACATGAGCTCCTGTCGAGAAAACGAATTGGAGCTGATCTACTAAGAGGAAAACGAAAGACCCTTTTGACAGTCATGCTGAAATTTTGACACTTTTGACGCATGGAAGAATTAAGATAAAATTTACGTTAGATTGAAACTGATAGCTGTTAAGCTACATGATGACCAAAGTAACTTGAATTCAGCAAAAAAGCCACCATTTTTTTACTTTTTTACATTTTTTTATTGGTTTATACAATTCAAATTTCACCAAAACTACGTCCTGCTAGACCATTGTTCTTGGTGAAATAAAAAACGTCGAGGAAACCGTAGGAGGATTCTCAAAATAGCCATTTGTTTTTAGTGTATCAAAAAAACAATGCCATTTGGAATAAAAGAGGCAAAAACAAAACAAACAACTCTTCCCGTCTCTAATGGGGAACATGCCGCGCTGATTAAGCTTTCAACTAGAAACAAAGAGCACAAGTTTACTTTGGCAAGGCTAACTTGTTAAGTAAGACCGTCTTAGTGGTGTTCAAGAACAACACCATGCATGTTCATGAATCCAACATTTTGTTTTGATTTTCCCAGAGACTGTTATTGTAAAATTCTCTGTGCTCAACGAACTTCATAATTTCAATGTTTCTAGATCTGTCTTTCGCTTATTTTAATTTACAATGTCGTGCATACATCGCGCCGAATGCCTATTGTTCTCGCAAAAAAAATATGGATATGTTGTATTCGCAGCGAAGCGTAATCTGGATCTCTAAGATGGTGACCTTATGATTATCATGACAAGCCGGTTCAGGAATAATAAACATTTCTGTAAGGCAGAGCTTTCTTCTGTGGAGACATCAGTCATTCTATTTCCTTTCCATTTCAGTTGTTTTTTTTAGCCAAAAGAACTCACCGGGAAAATATTCATTTTAAAATATCACTGGTAGAGATATTCACTTAAACAGAGGTGCCTTAGTATCGTCTTGCTTACAGCTGCGTCTGTGACAATTGACTGTTGAGTTGAAAGATTCCATGCTAATCAACACGCCTAAATGTACGGAGTAAATCAACCATGGAAGGACATTTTTTTTTTGAGCAACGCAGCTGTCATGATTTGGGCCAAATGTAGTAGCTTCTTAAAGTGCCCATCCTTTCGGTTGAGTGAAATTTACTCAAAGACGAAGCTACATAATAGGGTGATTATTTGAGATCTCTTCTTTTATTCTCGTTTAACAAACACAAAGCAGATCAAATGGGGTTCTTCCGACCCTAACTAAGCCGACAAACTGCACGTTCTTACGTTTTTCTTTTGTCTGATTTTTCTTCTGGGCGGTTTCGAAAAAGGAAGTGACGTGTAAGGTTGGACAAGTTATTAAATAACTAGAACCATCTTATCGGCCCAAGTGCCTAAAACAAAGAAAACATTGAATCATTTGAATTCTTAATGACAACCTCTTCCTATGGGCTACCTTCTTCCAGTTCCTTGACCTTGCGGGCTGGCCACTTTGGCTAATTCGCGTTAAGTGTAAGCCATTATTATTCTGGTATATCTACCGAGTATAGGATACTTATACCAGTTTTTGGCATAGTCACACTCGTCATATGATGTTCAAAACACATTAATATCAGAACATCAAAAGGCTACCTTTAGTGGCTGCAGTTTCAAATAAAACCAATTGGTGCTCCAGCTTTTGGGCCTTAAAAATTATAGTCTATTTATCACCTGAATTTTTTGTTGTATCTGGGGTTTACCTCTTTGAAAACTCGATGTGTTAGCCAAGATTCTTTCCCTCCTAAATTATTTCCAAGAATAGGAAAATTATTGGTGATGCCGAAAAATATTTCTTACGTGTGCTTATAGGATCCACCAAAAAAAATACGACAAGAATTCAAGGAGAAAATACGTTTCTTACTTAGTCCAGGAATCACTACTTTGCAGGTGTTTCAATCCGAATATGATGTAGTCAAATGAATAAGGTTAAAAGGGTAAATATTTATTATAGGCTCGAACTTAGCGTCTTAAGTACAAGTCATAAAAAAGAGAAAAAAATACTCGAATGTGGTTGTAACATCAATCCTTTATATAAATATCTTGAAAGTAGGTCTCCTTTGATATGAACAATCGTCAAATGTAAAATAGCGATAACATTAATATAAAAATCATCACATACGATGATGATTACAATAAGGATAAAAATACTGATCACCTTAACCATCAATCATAGGCTAGTTGTAAAAATCAAGTCTACTTATATTTATATTTATGTGTACCTCAGGTGATTGTATTTGCATTGTTGCTCATTGCTTGGATCGTTAGTTGTTTTTAAGAATAACGTGCCATCTTTCCTTGCAGCAAGGCACTTCGAGTTATAAGTATATGTAAAACTGTTTTTGGATCGAATTCTAGATTCTTTAAAAACGAAGTCATCAGAAATGTTGTCGTGACAGCCATTCTGCTGCTTCTGTGGATGCAACCAGAATAAGAAATGAGCCAATTTCTAGCAGATATGTCCCTGCCTTATCCCTAACAAACTACGAACAAATCTTAATTCAGAAAAATTGTTGTAAAAAAAAAAAAAAACAAAAAACCCCCCAAAAAACCACATGTACCCCACATGCAGAGACTGGCGTGCATTTGATGGGTTTCAATTAATTTAAGGATCAAACAGAGAAGTTCTCTGGGAAGAGAGCGTCCCACTGGGGTAGGAAATCTGCTTTTTACAAAACGTTATCTAGGGACAAGAAAGTATCTTTATTTTTTAAAATGAAACCAAGCAGTTTACGTATCATTAAAAGTTGGTCAAAGTAATTAAGGTTAATTTTGAAAATCCGTTTCTTACTTAGTCCAGGAATCACTACTTTGCAGGTGTTTCAATCCGAATATGATGTAGTCAAATGAATAAGCATCGCTCACCTCAAAAATGATATTGCTCATAGTGACGACCCTCAGCGCGTACTTAACTTTGCTGTTTGTTGAAAATTGAATGCATTTTCCTCTTTTCATGCCCGACGAGTCCTTGATCGTGATGATAGTAAATCCTTTAAAGAAAGTACAATCATTTCGTCAGCAAGCTCGTGTCTTGGATAACATCATTCGCCTACATTTAGGCAGTACGGAAAGCTGCAAAACACTAGAACAAAATTTTCTTCCAAATCGGCATTCTTAATCCCCACGGTATCATCGAGCGCTTTTCATATAACAAATTTATTCTTGTTTTCTCGACACCATATTCTCACCAATAGGGTAGCTCCATATTCTGCACATAAACCCACATACAATCCACAATTCCTCCAATCACCCTGACGAAGGGCTAACGCTCGAAACGTCAGTCTTTAAACTCTTTAGGGTGGCTAATTTATATTTTCAATTCAGTTGTTAACACTAGATTACCAGGGTCCTGAAGTAGTCTTGTTGGACTCCTTTATTTGAAACAATTAATCAAGAAAACCTGTAGTTATTTCATGCACTACCGCTTTAGGACCTTACGAGCTCCCCTTTCAATGTTGAAAGTAGATATCTTGAAACGAGTTGTGTAAGTTTTAATTTTAGCATTCAAGCAGAGACAATGACATACTTTTTCAGTGACGTAAAGGTGACAAAAATGTTTAAGGAAGCTGCTTAAAAGTATGGGCTGTTGAGAGAACCGTTTCAGATTTATTTCAACCTATAAGCCGATTCGTTATAAACGAATTTTAGAATTTCAAGTCTCAGTTATGTTTAAGTCAGTCTCAGGTGATCAGCGTATACTCACTTGTTGCCGGATCTGTCGTATAGGCACCATCAATGCTGACTTTTGTTCTGATCGTGCTGCCTGAATAACTTCCAATCTTCATTAAACAGCGATTACTTTTTATCCAGCCACAGAAAGCTGACCTGATGTGTCTATTCTTGCCCTGTGCTGATTCGCTGAATTGAACAAGCTCCAAAAAGCACATAACAGAAATCTAAAGGAAGAACAGAATATTCGTATTTCGCTGTCTCTCAACATGTAGTGCAATTTCAAAAAAATACTATAAAAAAGTATTTTTTTCTTAAAACTCCTCAATTAGAGGCAGTATTCGCTGAGGGCCATTGATGGATTCCGTTCTAAATAGAATCGTATATATCTTGACCAACGGCTAAGATAGAATAGGACGTAGTTGTTACCACTGTAAAAGTTAAGCCAACCATTACTGGCCAGGCTAAAGAGCTATGCCAAGCATCATCAATATAAACTGACGGAGATCATTAGTAGATGATATCAAAGAATCTTCGAAAAACATAGTACCGTAGCTTAAGTCTGGAGCCACGATAACAATAATGAAACAGCTAAGCTACTTACAAGAAAAATACTCTTGCAATCCATTTAGACAACCTTGTTTCCACTGCTTCTCAAATAAATCAAGTATTTTTTAATGAAATTTCCATAGAACAAGGGTCTTATTTATACCATTTCAAGGGCAGGATTTTTTTAACGTGCCAACGTAAGAGTAGGATAGTTTGTTTTTGTTTTGAATTCTTGTTATTGTATACGGAACTCGCAATTCAACCCACTGTTGTAGGGTGGATTGCGGTAACAGAAGCAAATGTTATTTCAACCTCTCTGAACGGAAATTTTGTACGATCTCTAAAAAATTTTGTCGTTGCAGAAATAACCATGTGTTCTTCTTCGTTCATAATTGGTCTAAATATAGCCAGTTTATCAAGAGGTTTCGGCAAGAACTTTGCCAACAAATACAAACCGAATCAACGATAATTATGCAATTTCATTGAGTCCAGGTAAGGCCTGAGCTGTAAGCAACAGTTCCCCCTTAAGGATCTGGCTGCAATTAGCGACCTGTATTTTTATAGATGATATCATGAGAATATGCCACCAAAGAGAATTCATAACATGTGAACCCTGGGTTAGCTGTTAAGATTGCGTCACTTGAACTCAACAGGGTTGTAGTAAAGGAATTATAAAATTATGCGAGGAGAAGGGAAATTTGAAAGGCTATTTTTCTGTATTTCAGTGCGTTGTAATTTTCGATCGATTGCGGTTGAAGTCAAAAGACAAATAAACCGCAGGTAACAGGTGCTTTTCAACGTCCAAACGTTCCATGTCCCCCTTATCATAAGTGGTATCGGAAGAACGTTGGTGTCCTAATAAAGCATACAGTTGAAGAAAAAGTGTAAAGAAGAAGCAATGTTCAAAGTTTCAAATGTGAATTCAAAGTGAACAATTTAACAAAGTGAGCAATTTTGGTGAATCTATAGATTCACCAAAAGGTCACAGAATCAAGGAGAGAATTCGTTCATGGTTCTGAAAGGCCCATTGGGGTTGTGATCGACATCTAAGATAAAGAAAGGCCATCCGTAAACTTAAAATTAGGGGATGACGGTGGCCAAGTGTTTCCCGGAATGGCGCCGTAAACAAGGAAGAAAAGCAAAGTTATAGTTAAAACGGATATCGCTGTGTGTTGGAGTTTGAAGACTTCCCCCCGTTTCTTGTCTTACAAAGGTACCCCACATACAAATATTTTTACGATTCCCTGAGCCATTCCATTGCTGTAACGTTAACATCGTAATCGGTACGTCCGTGAAACAGGAATGAAGTTAGTGATGGCCGCAGATACTATGCGGCATGCCACACCGCGTAGTTCCGGTCACGCCACATAAGTTCAATTAACCGTGAAACATTTCCGCCCGTTTCAGGGGAAATTCAAAGTTTCTTTTATCGGAACCTTTTTATCCAAAATCGCTTAACCCACGCAACTACTTTCTTCGAGACAAATATTCATCCATCTAGAAGGTTTCATTTTAGAAAGTGGTTGCTTATCTACCTGCTTGTTTATTTTCCGACTCTCAATGTTGTTTCATACATATCTGATCTTAATCTTACTTTGCGGCAGGGTCCCGAAGTACCTCCCTAATCATTCTAAACAGCATATGGCAGTTTGCGGCCTTTCCCTTCATCTTAGCAGCTCGGAGAGCTGCAAAACACTAGAACAAAATTTATCTTCCAAATCGGCACTCTTAATCCCCACGGTATCAACTAGTGCTTTTCATTCAACTAATTTATTCTTGTTTTCTCGTCACCATACCCCACCAAAAGGGTAGCTCCATTTTCTGCATATAAACCCACACACAACCCACAATTCCTCCAATCGCCCTGACGAAGGACTAACGCTCGAAACGTCAGCCTTGGAACTCTTCAGGGTGGCTAACATTTTCAATTCAGTAATTAACACTAGATTACCAGGGTCCCGAAGTAGTCTTGTTGAACTCCTTTATTTGAAACAATTAATCAATAAAGCCTGTAGTTATTTCGTGCACTACCGCTTTACTATTTTTTTTTCCTTTTTTAATTTTTGAGATTTTCTCTCAATGTTTTTTCACTATCTTATATTACTCATGTTTTCATGGTATTTTACATTGGTTAGCTGACCTTTTTGAACCGGCTACTTTTGATTATAAACTACACATTGTGTGTTATCTGTTCACGGTATCTTCTTTGTATGTCAATACAAAACGTTAGTACCAAGTCAAACCAAATGCTTTAAACTGAATATTTTATGTGTCGTCTTGCTTTCCTTTTCTAAGGGTGAAATGTCTTTACCCTCCATATTAATGAAAAGGCAGCGGAACCATCTAATCGGGGAAACTTACGAGCGATCAGCGCTCTCAAGATATGAGAGTTGGGCATTGGCTAGCTCTGGCTGGGTATAACTTACCAAATACGACAGTTGTTTTCTTAGAGAATATTATGATGATTGTTTTACAAAGTGGACACTATACCATTAAAGAGAGCGCAAGCAATCCTCATGAAATAACAGTGGCCTTCTGTACAAGGTTATTTTCATGGGTGCGTAGAGCGAGGTCAGGCAACGATGAACACGAGAGTTTCAATCATGCCTATTTTGTTCGTGAAACTTCATTTTATCTATGATTAGTAACATATGTAGTTTCCACAGTTAAAGGTAGGGGACGGAATTGAGGCCTTTGCCATTCGAAAAAACCAAATTTCCAACGTGTTGGTATCTTGTTTTCTGTTGTTTTTGTTGTTTTATTTTTTCTGGCAACCTGAAGGCCTTATATAATTTTGACGAAGCCAATACGTATTTATCATTAGCCCTCGAGAAAATTAGTCTAACTTCTTCTGCAGTTTTGTCCCTATTTACTCACTGAAAAAATTGCTGCCACATTCTAACTGGAATCGAGGTTTACACAGAGCACAAAGGTGCCATAGTATCCCTTTGGCAGCGGGGCCAACAGAGTTACTCATAAATCAACTCATTGAAGCACCAGAAATAAATCCTAGTAGTTTCATTATCTCTCTCACAATCTTTTCTTTCCGGAAGACACCTTATTTATAAATGATGTTATCATTAAGTTATGGACTAAGAAAAGCACTACAGAAGTAAACCTGAACATTCTGGATCATGAAAACATTGTCGTAGATCAAATTACTTTTGCCCTACGTGACTCATCGTCTCAGGGAATAATCTGTATCGTTTGGTAAGTTATTTTAATTCCTGTCACCGAAACTTTAAGCTAACAGATCACGACTGTCTTGGCTTTAGGTCTTTGTGCGTTGAGCAGGTCGAGGAATTTAAGTGAAATTTCCCGTAACTCCCCTGAAATCCGTAGCATTGTTAAGCCTTGGCACCATGCGTGTCTATGGAAATAAAGAAGAACAAACAAAACAGAGGCAAAAAAAGGGAAAATTGGGAAAATTATACATTAGCTACCCTTACATAGCTCTTATTCCAAGGGTACCTTCTCTTATTTCACAGAAAAGAAATAATTATTCCGACTCTTTCGTCTATCAAGAGACCCTTGAAAAAAAATCAAATGGAACTAAGTTTGCGATCTGAGATATGGGGGATATTTCAGCCTCTTGTCGAGGAACTGATGAAAACGTGACCATTGTTATCTATGCACGTCATTATTAAAGTGCATTACCTCATCTTGTGTAGTTTGTTATTTACTCAAATCCCTGATTATGAAGGCTGGTTGGAATTTTTGAAATTTTGAATCTTTTGGGTATTTGACAACACTTGTGCACAACTTAAGGACTACGGAGTTATTTGGGAACCCCGGGTATCCGCTTTTTCCTCTTTTTTTTTCATTTTGCTTTAAGAGATCTTACGTAGGCAAGTGAAACTTAAGAGCATTGTACAAGTGTGTGATGAAAAATCCAATCCTAAGCCATGCATATTTTATATTACGTCATCAGTTAATAATTATAATAAAGACTTTATTTTACGAGGGTGCAAAATAAACTTAAGAGTATAATACAATATAAAAATAGAAACTAATATAATATAATATAATTGCAAGTGTGTGATGAAAAATCCAATCCTAAGCCATGCATATTTTATATTACGTCATCAGTTACATCCATAATCCACAAGAATGGGTGTCAAATATACAAAGAGAAAGTAAGTGACGCAGTCGGAGGCTACAAAATTTGATATATCATGATTAAATCGTTAAGAGGCCCTTTCATGGAACATAACTTATTATTCTCCTTGGATATCGATACTTTCCTTTCTCTCTTGACAGGCCTGGCTCAGGTATACTGGGAGTGATTGCAACCACACCTTTCCTTCGAGATAGTCTTCCTCTCCAGAAAGTTCTTTCACGTTCCCTGCCGCATTACAGAGTTCTTTGCAAAGTAAAGCTATCTCTCTCATTTGAATCATGTAGTTTCTCAACTTTACTTGTAATTTCGCCAAAGGAAATGCATTTCTACGTCTGCCACTGAGACCCAGTTATGGTCAAGATGAATATCACCTGGGCGCCGGTTTTAAAATCACCGTCTGAGGACAGGACGTTGTGACACTAAATATTTGTAAAGTGCTGCCGAAAGGTGCTCTTGCTCCAGTTTTCCTGTGCTTAAATTTTTTATGTGCTTCAATTTGAAGCTCTGAGCAACCTCTGAAGAAATTGCATGCTATTTTATACTCTTTTCCCTCGATCAGAATCGATCATGGAAATATCTAGGAAAAGTGATCAATTATTTCTCATATCCTCCTGTGTTACATTGGAGAACGTTGAAGTTTTGGAAAAAAACCAGGCTGTTTTATGCAGGTACCTAATTTCTTGTAAAATACTTTTTGTTTTTAATTGCAATTTTTTTTTATAATTGTAAGGGGAGAGACTTTTTTATCTTCCTTTCACATTTTACTTGCGTTTATATGAGAAAACTCTCAAAGAGGCGAATTTCATACAAAACAAACATTACTAAGTTGACTGCCCATGAGTCACACAGGTATATCTTTTCATTCCATTTCTTCAATATAATAGTTTCCTATAAAAAAAAGTTCGCTTTTTGTTTAAAGAATGCTTGGCAGATACAATTTGCGCCGCGACCAGCTTCTGATAAATCGACGAAACAAATATGATATGTA